ATATATTATTTAAATGCATTTGAATATATCTTATATTTTCCCATTACAGATATATATAAACATATAGTAATGAGAAAATTATATATATATATAGATATATATTATTTAGAAACATTTTTATGTCTTTATTTTCTTTTGCATTACAGTAACAATGTCATAATTCAAGTCATAATTATGCCATAATTCTTAAAATATTACTGTTTGAAAAGTAGACTTCATTTTCTCTAAGCAAAAAATTGTCTATATATTTGAAGAGTTCATTTGCAAAAACCGATAAATGCCACTTTAAAAAAAAAAGAGCTGATTGCCTGCATTATTCTCCACATATCGAGGATGGATAATTTCGACGAACTTGATGAACCTGTGATATCTTCTTCAGGGCGAAAAAGGACAATAAAAGCTGAAACGTTTTCATGGAACCTTGCAAAAGCAGCGCGTTACAATGGTGAGGGAAAAGCTCCGTGTATTGCGTGTAATCGCATCCATACAGTTTATGATCACAACAACAACAACGTTTGTCAGGCATCTACATTGTCATGTGAGGAGATTACAAAGATTAAACCAGTGTTTTTTTAAACTCTAAAACAAGAAATGTGGAGTTATCGTTTTGCCAAAAAACGACTGTTGGAGTTATCTGCTCTTGCTATAAAACACACTTTTAATATGTAAAAAAACCATACTTTCAATGAACTTTAATTTTGTAAATTGCCTGTATTTGTTTAAGTTATTATTACTTAATCAAAACAACCCAACTGCAGTTTGATTTATATTACTTGGAATGCGCAATAAAAAAAAACGTGATTTCTGAAAAAAAAATTAAAATGGAGTTATCGGTTTTTGCAAATGAACTCTTTAGTTTTTGACAGGTTTTGTGTGATCCATTAATTCATTACTGAGTGTAAAGTGCGTTTTCATGTGTGTTTAGGTTGGAATGGGTGGAAATCATCGAGCCGCGCACCCGGGAGCGCATGTACGCCAACCTGCTGACGGGTGAGTGTGTTTGGGACGCCCCGGCGGGCGTGCAGATCAAGCGCAGCGGACAGGACCAGTGGTGGGAGCTTTTCGACTCCAAAACGTCCCGATTCTACTACTACAACGCTTCTACCCAGTGCACCGTCTGGCACCGCCCAGACAGCTGTGACATCATCCCCCTCGCCAAACTACAGACCCTCAAGCAGAACACCAACACGACTCCGCCCACTGCGACCAGTGCCTCCGCCGACAGCAGCCCCGCCCGCAGCGCCGTCAGCACCACATCCTCGCAGGAGCAGGAGGAGAAGACGTCCACCGCCGAGGAGGGAGACAGGTGAGCGCATGCCAGATCTTAAAGGAACACTTCACCCAAAAATGAACATTAGCTGAAAATGTGCTCACCCTCAGGCTATCAAAGATTAGGGTGAGTTTGTTTCTTCATCAGATTTGGAGAAATGTAGCATTGCATCAGTGTCTCAGCAATGGATGCTCTGCAGTGAATGGGTGCCGTCAGAATGAGAGTCCAAACAGCTGATAAAAACATCACAATAATCCACAGCACTCCAGACCATCAGTTAACATCTGGAGAAGACAAAAGCTGAGACAAATCCATCATTAAGACATTTTTAGCTAAAATACGAGTTTATAATCCATAATAACGCTTCCTCCAGTGAAAAAGTGGTCTGGTCTGAATCAGGAGTGAAATCTGCACAGATCAAGCAGCGTTTAAACGGCTCTAAACAAATATGTGGCTGGATTTTGATGTGAGAGACAACAGGAGATGGACTTTTTCACTGCAGGAAGCGTTATTATGGATTATGGGCTCGGATTTTGACCAGAAGCGATGGTTCAATGTTAAAATGTCTTAATGCTGGATTTGTTTCAGCTTTTGTCTTCTCAAGATGTTAACTGATGGACTGGAGTGCTGTGGATTATTTGTGGATTATTGTGATGTTTTTCTCAATTGTCTCTCATTTAACCAAAATACCAATAATAACCAGGGCGGAAAAATCTTCCAAAATGCAGGTCTTTTAACTGTAAACAAGCCCGAAATACACTGGGACTCTTATTTTGAAATGTCTATGCTTTGCTATTGCTGGATCTATTAGCTTAAAATGTGAGGTATTAATTTATAGCTTTTATTTAATGAGATCATCGCTTTTTGAAGTATAATAATCACATCAGGCAGTATCACAATTCCTATTTTTCTATCCCTAAATTCAAGACCTCTTCAATTGATAAGACATTTTTTATAGCATTTATGATATCTAAGACTTTTTAAGCACTCACTGAGCCTTTTTTATTTGCAGACATGCTCCTAAATACATTTTACAGGTCGCACACATCTATTTTTTGTCTGAGACGCTAGTGAAATGCTCGCACTGTCGAGCCCTGGAGGAACTGACACGGAAAACATCCCAGAATCCCTTTTGATTTCACTCTGAGACCCAGACGACACCGGAGGAAGTCAGATTTCATTTAGTTTGACCGTCTGAGCCAGCTTCCTCCTTACAGCCGGTCTTCAGACGCTCTTTAAGACGGACAGCTCTTGTTTTTAGTTGTTTCATTAGATTATCGCTGTAAGTGGTTTTGAAAGCTCGACTGGACCAGAAATAAATAGCTTCCTGTTGAGACTTCAATAATATATGTGCACACTACAATACTATTCATGCTATTTTTGCAGTATATAGTATGTACACTAAAAAAAACATATATATATACAGCATGTATATATATTTGTTTGTTTTTTTTTTGGGGAAAATTTGAGTTTTTGCTTAAAACATGAATAACTATCTGCTAATTGGGTCATTAAAAGAATCTTGTTTTTTTATTTTGAATTAAGTTATTTTTCTTGCCTCGTTGACGGATACTTTTTCTTGTTTTAAGCAAAAACTCATTTAATTTTGATACACTTTTCGGAAAATAAGATGTAATATCTTAAGCCTTATGTCTAAGTCTTGATTTAGGAATATTTATATATTTGTACTGGAAAACAAGACAAAAATACTGATTAAGAAAATCTTTTTTTTTGCATTAAATGCAATTTTCAGACTGTTGCACTCTATTCCATGCATACAGAAAATCAACGTACTGTACATAGAATACATACTGTATACTGCAAAAATAGCATAAATAGAATTATTGTGTGTAAGAAAATTATAATTTTTTTGTCCCTAGAGAATTAGGTTGTTTTTTTTAGCAATAACAGTATAACCTTTCCAGACAGACCTACCATAAGCTCTGAGGTTATTAAACGATGCATTATGCCTCCATAAAAGCCACAAACTCAGTGTGATTTTGCTTTTAATTGCTGAAATCTTTCCGGAAACCTGAGAAAAATGGGCAGCCCGAAAACATTTGCACGGTTGATGACGAATGGCTTGACGCTTAATAGTGAGAGATATGTACGATTTTGCATGTGCATTAAAAAATGAATGGAATAAAAGGTATGATTGAAGAAAACAGGCATAGCACTTCAAGCTGTTTTTTAGATTTAATATTCCAACGGTGTCACACTTAAATAGTTTCATCCCATGAGGAGTGCGGGGACAAGGAAGGGAGGGTCGTGAAATGATTTTGTGTGACAGAGGAGGAGGAGGAGGCAGAGGGAATGAAAGAAGCATAGAATGTGTAAATTGATTTGAAGATCGGATATCCATGAATAATTAATATCCAGAGGAAAACACTGCTCACTTTGTAGTGGGTCTCTTGCTCGAGAGAGAGACGGAGTGAGAGATAAGTTTCTTGTGTTCAGAGTTTTAATCCGGCTACTAAAGAAGTGAACACACACACACACACACACACACACACACTTGGCTGTGTAATCCAGTCTGGTCATGGGGAGCCTTCAGAGGGCCGTGGTGGCCAAGTGCTGAATTGATTTTACACACTTCTTTTCTTGATACTTAGAGGCCTTTTCTGTGCTCTTTAAACTCACAGAACTCTTAGATTTTGATCTTTCAAAATTGCCCTTGAAAGGCTTGAAGGACTGAGATTTTTAATGGTGCTCGATTTGAAGTCAAGCATCACTTTTATTATTGCTATAGTTAGTGTTAGTGATTTGAACAAACCCAACATTTTCATCAAAGTACTCTACTCTTACTTCTTTTCAACTGATATCATCACTCCCTCTTATTAAATCTCTCTTATTTTATCCTCATGGAAAAAATCCCACTCAGTCATTTCTTTCCCTCATTGAATATTTGGTAATTCTTGGAAATTCATCACATTTAAGAAGTAAAATGGTTTGTGATCATTTCAGAACAAACTTGACTTTTTGCACTGGAAAATGAATTTTGAGATCTGAAGGTTAAGAAATGTCTACAGAGCAAAATAGGATGGCTTATTTTATTCAAAATACATTTTTATATTTCTATTATTATATTTTTTACTTTTCATGATATGGCCCTTTTAATAAACATTTATTTACTACTGCATATTCAAGGAGATTTATTGTAAATAGTAAAATAAAATAAGATAAGAATATCTTTTTATTAAAAAATAAATGTTTGTATTTTTATTTTGTTTTGTTTTACTTTTAATGATATGTCCGTTTAATAAACAGTAAAGAAAATCAGATTTATTATTAAATAGTCTTATTTATAGTCTTAACTATTTATTAAAGAGGAATGAAACATGAATATCACAAAGTTAAAATAGAAAAACAAAATAAAATGAAACAACAAAAAATTAAAAATATAAATGTTTATATATGAAGAGTTTGGTTCTAAAACGCGATAAACGCCATTTAAAAAAAAAAAAAAATGAGTTCCCACCAAAATCAGTATTGTTTCTGGTCGGTATTGAAAAGTCCATTTTTAATTTGACGCAAAATGCGATATCCGCTGTGTTATTCTGTCATGTGTTCTCCCTTTCTTTCCAAACCGGCGACAAACGCCAGTCTCCCTTCTCTGCAGAATGCGATACATCTGTTCAACCAATTACAGCGCACCATTCCATGCATTGTAAACAGTAACAACCAATCACAGCGCACCATTCCACGCATTGTAAACAGTAACTGGCAAGCTACACAATATTTCATTCATAAACGCAGATGAATCGCCTTCGATTATGAACACGATATTGCGTAGCTTGTCAGTGATCTACGGCTCTGTGTATTAAATGCCGCTCCAGCTGAAAGCATGTGATGGAGATTTACTACTAATCACAGAACCGGCTTTACTGACGAGATGCGCATGACAATCGCATGTGATTTATCGTGCATCCCTAAACAAATTAATAATTTTGAGGGCATTGATGAACCTGTGGTGGTTTCTGCGGTGGGGAAGAAATGTAAGCTATTAATAAGATTAGTATTGACCAAGTTCAGAGGCTGTCATATGTGGATCAACTTACTTTGTTGTGTATTTTCAACAGTTTCAATATGAAAAATAACTTTTATATTGATTCAATGGATTTATTGCATTTTGGGGAAAAAATGATCAGTTTTATAATAAATCTTTGAAAATCAAAATCTGGATTTGAGTTTTTAATGTTATTTTAACCTAATGATGCTATGTGAAAGTTTGAAACAGAAAATAGTGGTTTTCATCTGGCCACTTTCTTGGTAAAGAAAACACATTTTTACTCAAATTAATCAAAATGGATTTATACATTTTTGGAACCAAACTCTTCATATGTTCATTTATTGAATCTTTTTATTTTACTTTTCATTGTATTACTCCTTTAATAAATAGTAAAAAAATATTTTTATATATTTCTTATTAAAATTATTTATTTTAACATTTGTTACTATTTTCTTTTTACTAAAATTTTTTTTATTTTCTTTCGTTTAGGTTCAGATGGGGCACTGGCACCAGAGAGCGGATGCTCATCAAAGTGTCGGATCGAGAACCCAGTTTTCTGACGCAGGGAAACGGATACTCCAGTTCTTCCCCACGCTCCAGATGCTCGTCCAGCAATGCTCCTTCCGACCCCGAAGCCACACCTTTTTCTCTGCCCGACCGCCCGTCATCGCAGTCTCCGTTTCTGAAGAGAGCGGACTTGGGCAGCACTCAGCGGCGCTGCTCGGGCGATTCCCAGCCATCGTCCCCCCGCTATGCTTACGAGCCTCCTTTGTACGAGGAACCGCCCTCGGAATACCAGTCCCCGCCTATTTATGAGGAACCGCCCACTGACATGCACTGCGACCAGGCCTTTTTTGGCTCCGACAGGTCTCCAGCGCGAAAACCAGGTCTTTACCACTCTCCCAAGCAAAGCCCGTCTCCTTACGGTCAACTGGTGTTGATGAGACAGCGGAGCTCTACGCCCGAGAAGACGCCCAATCAGGGCGATCAAGACTATAACTCGAGTGGGCGGGACTACAACTCTGCGGGGCGGGACTACAGCTCCAGTGGGCGGGATTATAGCTCAGGCATGAGGGAGTACAGCTCCGGTGGGCGGGAGTATAGCGCCGCTGGGCGGGAATATGTAAAGCAGCTAGTTTATGTCGAGCAGTCTGGCTCCTCCCCTCGGTTTAGGACAACCGAGCGTCTGCTGAGCTACGGGACGACCAGTTCAAATAGCCTGTCAGCCGGATTTTCTTACGGCGGCTCCTTTACGCTACAGCACAGTCATGATCTCAACGGTGGCAATCGGAAACGTAAGAACCGGAAGCCGTCTTTGCCGGGAGGAGAGGGCGACGGCATGGGGTCCGGTCTCGGGGCCATGATCACCCAAGCCCGGTTGGCATGGGAGGCTCAGCAGATGTTACATCAGCGAGGGGGCGTGTCTTCTGACCAGGGAGGGAAAGACGGGTATGAAAGTGACGGGGCGACACCCCTGCCGCTGCCTGGTCCGGTGGTGCGGGCGTTCAGCGAAGACGAGGCTCTTGCGCTACAGGAAAGCCACTGGAAGCGCGCCACCCTGGACAGACTGGCATTTCCTCAGACGCTGCTAGAAAAGAGTCTGTCAGTGCAAACCAGCCTGGCATCACCTGAACCTTACCTCCATCCCTCGCAGGTAATGCACAACGACATGCGCGTTGCATCAGAAACTCAAAACATTGCAGAGATTCCCATATTTATGTCACTGCAGTGGATGGGAGGTCATTACCAGATTATTGCGATACCTGGGACACATTACAGTCCTGATTGCCATTTATTTTAGGTGCTGCAATACTCTGCAACTTTATTTTATGATTTATGTGAGTCAACCATCACCTTTACAGTTAGTTACTACTTCAGGTTAATCCTCTAACTTTCTAACCTCTAGTATTAGGCTAATGATACACGGGGCAACTTTTTGAGCAATGTTGCCGAGCGATGTTGCTTGGGCACTTTACCATTGAGAATGGTCAACAAATTTCTATCTGGATACTTTAGTTCAGTCGTGGACGAGTCCTAAATTCATGTGTCTTGTTAGGGAGAGCTGCATAGTTACTTTACTAAGTAATTAAATGCACTGTTCTCATCTTCTGGACCATAAAAACAGTGAAAGATCCCACAGGCGTGCACTGTAGGAAGCATTGCAATGATCTAAAAACCTTCCAGAACCCCCTAGCAACTACTTAGCAATGGTCTAAAAACCAGGAGATCTCAAATTTAGAGGTGCAGGACTCTTTTGGTGTGAAACAGTAAAGCACCCTAGCAACTGCATAGCAACACTTTAAAAACCGCCCAGAAAGCCTTAGCAACTGCATAGCAACATGCTATGAAACCTCCCACAATGCTCTAACAATGCTCAAGCTCTAGCATAGCATCGCTTTAAAAACCTTCTGTAGCACCTTAGCAACTGTATAGTAATGCCTTCGAAACCTTCTGTAGCACCTTAGCAACTGCATAGCAACGCCATAAAAATGCCCAGAATGACCTAGAAATATCATAGCAACGCTTTAAAAACATTATGGAATGTTGCAACTGTATAGCAACACTTTCAATACACTTGTACTAAAAATGATGAAATATTGGATTGTTTACCTTCATGTCACGTGACCATTGACCAACATCAGAGAACTATGAATATGAGATTTAAAAATGAACTTTAAATCTCAGGGGTGTTTCAAGCTCAAAGGGGTTCAAATGGAAACACATAAAACATTGAGAATCACTGTTTTAATGAATGGAAATTGTGATTAGAGTGGAATAGAATATTATGAATGTAAGATACAATCAAAAACTAGAGGAATGCACTTAAAGAAACTGAGGCTTTATTAGACATTAGACACTGTTTTATTAACAGCTCAGATTGCGTTTGCTGATTGTGTGGTATGATGTCAGTTTCAGCGGCGCAGTAGAAAGTGTTTTTGGACACATTGGCGCTGAGGTCTTGAATGAGCTAGAATCCTCTGATGAGCTGAACTCTGAGCTCTTTCAGCCCAATATAATGAGCGTTTAACTGTCCTGAATCAGGCCTGACCTGCCGCTTAAGCGCTGCCAGTGAGATTAATTGGGCCGGCTGACCCTCAGACACCTGTTACCCAACCATCTTTGTTCTGGAGATACCGGGCTGAGCCGAGCTAAACTGTGTGAGAGTTTCCTTGGAGGATTTTTTAGGTTCTGCTCTATTTTCTGATAGTAATGGAGGCAGACAGCAGCTTCAGCAGGAACAGGCACGCAAACCTCCCATAATACCCCAGCAGCTGCGTAGCAACCCTCAAAAAACCTCTTAGAACACCCTAGCAACTGCATAGCAACACTCTAAAGAACACCCTAGCAACTGCATGGCGATGCTCTAAAAAACACCTAGTACGGCCTAGCAACTGCATAGCAGCACTCTGAAAACCTCTTAGAACACCCTAGCAACTGCATAGCAACACTCTTAAGAACACCCTATCAACTGCATGGCGATGCTCTAAAAAACACCCAGTACGGCCTAGCAACTGCTTAGCAACTCTCTAAAAACCTGTCAGAATCCCCTAGCAACTGCATAGCAACGCTCTAAAAACCACCCCAGAACACCCTAGCAACTGCATAGCAACACTCTAAAGAACACCCTAGCAACTGCATAGCGACACTCTAAAAACACCCAGTACGGCCTAGTAACTGCTTAGCAACTCTCTAAAAACCTGTCAGAATCCCCTAGCAACTGCATAGCAACGCTCTAAAAACCACCCCACAACACCCTAGCAACTGCATAGCAACACTCTAAAAAAACACCCTAGCAACTGCATAGCGATGCTCTAAAAACACCCAGTACGGCCTAGCAACTGCATAGCAACACTCTAAAAACCTGTCAGAATCCCCTAGCAACTGCATAGCAACGCTTTAAAAACGGCCGGCGGATTCGACGATGGAGTGTCCGGCGGGCTTGCGGCAACCACATGTGACGACCCCGGGCTGGACTCTGCTTCGTCCACGGTGAAAGCCGATGATCCACAGCGCAAAGTTGTTGTATTTCCTCAGCAACCAGCACAGATCAGCTCCAGGCATGACGAAGCAGATATCGTCCTCTTTTGGAAGACCAAACAAAGTAGTTTCGCTTTCACAACGAAACACACAGCGCCTTCACGACATGGCGGCGGCAACAACAATACGCCAAGTTACGCCTTCTTTCTTTGCGTGAACATTTGGGCGGCGTTATGCAACAACCAGCACGGATCAGCTCCAGGCATGACGAAGCAGATATCGTCCTCTTTTGGAAGACCAAACAAAGTAGTTTCGCTTTCACAACGAAACACACAGCGCCTTCACGACATGGCGGCGGCAACAACAATACGCCAAGTTACGCCTTCTTTCTTTGCGTGAACATTTGGGCGGCGTTATGCAAAGCTTCCCACATAGTGACGTAGACATGTGGGGGCGTGTTAGAACGAGCCGTTTTAGGTAGGTGTGGCTGACTCTTAACTTTTATAAAGAATATCTCTTTGGATTTGAGACTTTAGTCTTTGCAACTTTACAGATCTTCTTTATGGACCAAGAGCTTGTAACACTCCAAAGAGAAAGGAAAAATTCAAATCGCATCATATGATCCCTTTAAGGACCTGCGGGAGATCTGCATTTAAGATAGCCCGTCGGGCAGAGTGGTGATACATTTTGGTAGCCCGACTGGAAAACACAATAGCCCCGGGACGTCGGGCTACCGATTTTGCGAGCCCTGCTCTAAAAACCTGTCAGAATCCCCAAGTAACTGCATAGCAATGCTCAAAAAACCACCCAGAACACCCTAGCAACTGCATAGCAACGCTCTAAAAAAGGGCCGGTTTGTTGGTGTATGTGATGCTTCTCCATTTGCAGTGTTTTCTGGGAGTTTTCAGGCGGTTTCAGTGTGTTTGTCCAGCAGATCACACGCACACACACACACACACACACACACATACACACACAGACACACCCTGCTGTTCCACATCAATATTTAAGCGTGTGCAGTTTGTAGAGTGCTCACGCTTATGTAAGGCATCACACTCACATCACCAACACGCACGACTGACATCGCCACATTCCACACCTAACATCAAAATCAAACATCTAACATCAGAAATTCAAGCTTGTTTTAGGACTGTTAAAGGATTAGTTCACTTCCAGAATGAAAATTTCCTGATAATTTACTCACGCCCATGTCATTCAAGTTGTTAATGTCTTTCTTACTTCAGTTGCAAAGAAATGAAGGTTTTTGAGGAAAACATTCCGGGATTTTTCTCCATATAGTGGACTTCAATGGAGATCAAAGGGCTGAAGATCCAAATTGCAGTTTCAGTGCAGCTTCAAAGGGCTCTACATGATCCCAGCTGAGGAATAATCTAGCGCAACCATCTGTCATTTTCTAAAAAAAAAAAAAGTATATACTTTTTAACCACAATTGCTCATCTTGCACTATCTCTGTGATGCGCAGTGTTGGGCAAGTTACTTCCAAAATGTAATACATTATATATTACTAGTTACTGTCTTTTGAAAGTAATTAGTTACATTACAATATTGCTGTCTCTGAATTGTAATGTTACACTACTTTTGAGTTACTTTCACCAAAATATCCACGGAAATTTGACTAGGCATTTTAAAATGCTAAAATGTAGTTTATTGCTGCTCATTATACATCCATGCAGAGGGTGATTTGGTAGGTCTGCTATAGCATAAAAAATTATAAAATCATATTTAGGTTACGTTGTAGTTTAGGTTAAAGTCAGATAAGCACAAACCGCATTATTACATTCAGAAATAATACCGGTAATTAAAGCGGAACGTTATAATGTACAAACAATTATAGGCCTAACATAATAGCTAGCCTTGTATTTAGAACACAACAAGAATTAAAAATATAATTTGCTAAACAAACCAAAACGAATTAATTTAAAGCTAGACTAAAAGCAAACGCCGTTGTTCTAGACGCAGACTACCTCTCTCATTCGGCACGAATCCAATTAAATGTTTCCATATACGTTGTGTATGTGAATGCTAAACTATTATTTATTATGAAAACCAGGCTTTGTACTTAACTTGCTTTCCGCACACAAAAAAAATCATCCTCTTCACATGAGCAAATATGTGCTTGGCCCGAGCCCAGGCTGAACGGCACGGATTGTACGATGGAATATTAAAATTAACCAGTGTAGCTGTATGTTTGGTTGACTATATTTTATTCTGATAATGAACAGGCTGCAGAAATACAACAAAAACACTCTGTCATTTTTTGGTCATACAGATTATTCGAAACTGCAGTGAGTCTGTCATCTCGGTTTTCTCTCCGTGAACTTGTTTGTACACCGCGTGCATAATTAATAGGCACGTTGATATTCTGATGATATTTTTTTTCCAAGCACATTTTACCAATTCCAAACCACATCAATCTTAATAACTACTATTCATTTAGTATTTAATCATTTATGAGTTATGTATGTACATATTACTTCATGTAATTGTCCATGAAGGCTGGAAGTGAAAAACTCCTTATATTCAGGTGTGCAGAATTATTAGGCATGTTTTCTTTTACTGATAAAATAAGCCAAAAAAGAGGTTTAACTCAGACTGAAAAGTCAAAAATTATTCAATCCCCATGAGAAATATTAAAAACTAATGCAATACAGAAATTGCAAAGTTAAGACATGACCATTGGACAGCAAAATGCTCACTGGGTCAGCGGGGTGGAGAAGAAAAGACACACGTTAACTGCAAAAGATTTAATAATTAATGTGAAGAATTAGGTGTGAAACCATCAGGAAGCATTTAGTCTCCAGCGCCAGCATTTTCCAGAACTGCAGCCTTCCTGGAGTCTCCAGAATTACAAGGTGTCAGGTTCTCAGAGACTTTGCTTGAGTAAAAAATCCTAAAAGATTACCCTCATTTAATAAGAATAACATGCTGAAGCTGAAGTATTGTGAAATACAAGAAGACTAGTTTTTTATAGGCTTTATGGACAGATAAGTTGTGAGTGACTCTTGAAGGACCAGCACCACATCCTCTTGTAGAAGAATTGATCTTCCAGAATCTGGCAGTAAGTTTTAGGAGCTCATTTTTAGTCAATTCTGCAAGACAGACTTTTCAGGATATGGCGTGGAATAAAAATGAGCCCCTAAAACTTACTTAACATAATATTGTTACGTTTTTAATGCGTTACTCCCAACACTGGAGATGCGCATGCAACACTTCACATTACGTAAACGCGTTGGAACGGTCACGCGCTGTTAGTTCTTCGTCTGTGTACTCCGGTTCAAAAATGGTTGCTTGGGGATTTTAGACGGTTTTTAGCGTGTTGCTATGCAGTTGCTAAGGGTGTTCTGATATGTTTTAGAACGTTGCTATGCAGTTGCTAAGGTTGTTCTGAGTATGTTTTAGAACGTTGCTATGCAGTTGCTAAGGTTGTTCTGAGTATGTTTTAGAACGTTGCTATGCAGTTGCTCAGGGTGTTCTGAGTATGTTTTAGAACGTTGCTATGCAGTTGCTAAGGGTGTTCTGAGTATGTTTTAGAACATTGCTATGCAGTTGCTAAGGTTGTTCTGAGTATGGGTGCGTCTCAATCAGCTCCCTAGCTCCTGAGCTCGTGAATCAGTTGCTATGCAGTTGCTAAGGTTGTTCTGAGCATGCTTTAGAACGTTGCTATGCAGTTGCTAAGGTTGTTCTGAGCATGCTTTAGAACGTTGCTATGCAGTTGCTAAGGTTGTTCTGAGCATGCTTTAGAACGTTGCTATGCAGTTGCTAAGGTTGTTCTGAGCATGCTTTAGAACGTTGCTATGCAGTTGCTAAGGTTGTTCTGAGCATGCTTTAGAACGTTGCTATGCAGTTGCTAAGGTTGTTCTGAGCATGCTTTAGAACGTTGCTATGCAGTTGCTAAGGTTGTTCTGAGCATGCTTTAGAACGTTGCTATGCAGTTGCTAAGGTTGTTCTGAGCATGCTTTAGAACGTTGCTATGCAGTTGCTAAGGTTGTTCTGAGCATGCTTTAGAACGTTGCTATGCAGTTGCTAAGGTTGTTCTGAGCATGCTTTAGAACGTTGCTATGCAGTTGCTAAGGTTGTTCTGAGCATGCTTTAGAACGTTGCTATGCAGTTGCTAAGGTTGTTCTGAGCATGCTTTAGAACGTTGCTATGCAGTTGCTAAGGTTGTTCTGAGCATGCTTTAGAACGTTGCTATGCAGTTGCTAAGGTTGTTCTGAGCATGCTTTAGAACGTTGCTATGCAGTTGCTAAGGTTGTTCTGAGCATGCTTTAGAACGTTGCTATGCAGTTGCTAAGGTTGTTCTGAGCATGCTTTAGAACGTTGCTATGCAGTTGCTAAGGTTGTTCTGAGCATGCTTTAGAACGTTGCTATGCAGTTGCTAAGGTTGTTCTGAGCATGCTTTAGAACGTTGCTATGCAGTTGCTAAGGTTGTTCTGAGCATGCTTTAGAACGTTGCTATGCAGTTGCTAAGGTTGTTCTGAGCATGCTTTAGAACGTTGCTATGCAGTTGCTAAGGTTGTTCTGAGCATGCTTTAGAACGTTGCTATGCAGTTGCTAAGGTTGTTCTGAGCATGCTTTAGAACGTTGCTATGCAGTTGCTAAGGTTGTTCTGAGCATGCTTTAGAACGTTGCTATGCAGTTGCTAAGGTTGTTCTGAGCATGCTTTAGAACGTTGCTATGCAGTTGCTAAGGTTGTTCTGAGCATGCTTTAGAACGTTGCTATGCAGTTGCTAAGGTTGTTCTGAGCATGCTTTAGAACGTTGCTATGCAGTTGCTGAGGCCTTCTGGGAGGATTTTAAAGTTCTCAGTAACTCACATGATTAGAGGATTCATCGGTGTCTGGAGCTCAAACGCTGCATGAACACACACACACACTTAAGTCACAGTGTTTCAGATGTTCGTTATGATGCTCAGCAGACTCACAGGAATCATTAGCACTGATAATTGCTCTGCTTGCTCAAATGAACTGTATTTCTGGAGCCAAGAATATGAAGTCATTCAGGAAGAAGCAAGGACAGACTGTCCCTCATGGTCTCATGGTCTTCACGCACGGCTGAAGTCAAACACCTTCTGAAACACTCCACAAACATCAGATGCTGAATTACAGTCAATCAGTTTGTTTGCTCAGTTTGGATTTATTATTATTATTATTATATTATTATTACAACATTCCTGTTGTTGTTTTATTTTCTTATTTTTCTTACCCCAACTGAATTTTATTCTCTTTTTTATTTTCTCGTTTTTTTTATTATTCTTTTAGAACGTTGCTATGCAGTTGCTAAGGTTGTTCTGAGCATGCTTTAGAACGTTGCTATGCAGTTGCTGAGGCCTTCTGGGAGGATTTTAAAGTTCTCAGTAACTCACATGATTAGAGGATTCATCGGTGTCTGGAGCTCAAACGCTGCATGAACACACACACACACTTAAGTCACAGTGTTTCAGATGTTCGTTATGATGCTCAGCAGACTCACAGGAATCATTAGCACTGATAATTGCTCTGCTTGCTCAAATGAACTGTATTTCTGGAGCCAAGAATATGAAGTCATTCAGGAAGAAGCAAGGACAGACTGTCCCTCATGGTCTCATGGTCTTCACGCACGGCTGAAGTCAAACACCTTCTGAAACACTCCACAAACATCAGATGCTGAATTACAGTCAATCAGTTTGTTTGCTCAGTTTGGATTTATTATTATTATTATTATATTATTATTACAACATTCCTGTTGTTGTTTTATTTTCTTATTTTTCTTACCCCAACTGAATTTTATTCTCTTTTTTTTTTCTCGTTTTTTTTATTATTCTTTTATTTAGTTTTTATTGCTACTTTTAATATTTATGTTTAAAAAAAAAAAAACGACATGATCTTTGTTTTTGTTTTATTTATTTTTTTCACTACAAAAAAAACAGCATTTTTGCATATAAATGCTAACAAGATCCATTTACCCAAAACAAATGATCAATTACTGTTTTTACTGAATTATTTGGAATTATTATTATTATTATTATTATTAATTTCTTATTTTTTCTTACCTCAACAGCAATTTGCTTTCTTTTCTCATTTTAATCATAAACCTTACTGTTTATTTTTTATTAATATTTATTTTTATTTTTTTTGCTATTTTTAAATATTTATGCGTATTTCAAGAAGCTATTTAAAGTAATGTTTGCCAGTTAAAAATAAACAGCATCATCCAATAGATAAATATTTATATTTGTAGTTTTCCCCTTCTTCAGAAATTGTACCAATTTCTCAGGTCCATGTTATTAATATATAGTGAGTTTTCTGTGTTGTTTTGTTACATGTACCTGCGTGTTTAACTTTGTACGACGCGTTTGGTAACAGCTGATGTTACTGAGGCCACGAGAGGAAAGCGCTTGAATCATGTGAAACTGTATAATTGCCTGAAGGAGGTATTTCTGCAGTCCTGCTGCTGTTGTTATTCTCATTATTTTGGAGCTTGACTCATTTCCTCTCGGTCTCCTCTTGACCTGCTCCTGCGGCTGAGGCGGCTTTAATATCTGTGCTTCCTCTGCTCTCAATGCTGCTCTTCAGCATCAACACACAATGTTTTCTTTCTTTCAGTCGGAGGATCTCGGAGCATGTTCTCAGTTCGAGGCCAGTCGAAACGCTCGCAACATGATGCCCAGCATGAGCTGCGGCGTCTTCCCAGAGTTCACGCTTCGCAAACCGTCCTCCGAGACGGACATCGAGAACTGGGCATCCAAACACTTCAACAAGCACACGCAGGTACACCAGAACACCCATTAAACCCTAGAAACCTACTGTCCAATGAATCATCATTGGATTGCATTGCATTATATGTTTTGATCATCTTTCTAAGACATATTATTGGAGATATAGATTGACGACTAATATTTATTTAATTTTATCTGCTATACTGTTATGGATCTCATTGATTTACATTACAAGATAAAAATGAATAAAAACTGTATGAACATTTAAAAATTATCAAATTAAAGACTATTTCAAAATATCAATAAAACTAAAAACCAAATAATAAAAAAACGATTAAAAATTACAAAAACACACAACAAACACTAAAACTAAAATTTACATGGAAAATTGATTTGTTTTTGTTTTTCTCTCACAATATCAAATATTCAAACTTTTTTTTTATATATATTTTTATAATATTTTGATATTTCATATGTGATTCTGTACAGGGTTGAAATGTGACACTGGAAAAGTAATCTTGGTTAAACTACAAACTCAAAAAATAGTTTAATTACTTGAAATGGAATAAATAATATAATACATTTAAAAAATATATTTCTTTTTAATTAGTTGCAAAGGCAATATTAATTTTTTATTTAGTTTTAGTACTAAAATAAATAAAACTAATAAAAACTGTATAAACATATATTTTTTTAAATTATAAAAAAATAAGAAAAACACTACAAAATTACTAAAACTCAAATTAAAATGAAAAATGTAAGAATAAATACAAATTCAAAATGTTAATAAAAACTAATAAGATTTACAAAAGCACACACAATTACTACAAATAAAAATGTAAAAATAATAATTATATGTGAGAATTTAAAAATAAATGCTAATTCAAAATATTATTAAAAACTAATAAACATTACAAAAACACAAAACAGGATTACTAAATCTAATATTAAAATGTCAAATATAAAATTAAAAACGAATTAAATTTTTTTATAATAACTAATATAACTAATAAAAATGACAAAATAAAACAAACTTACTTAAAAGTACAATTAAAATGTAAAATATCAAAATAAAAATTTATTCTAAATATTAATAAAAACGAATAAAAATGACAAAAACACAATAAAATGACTAAAATATTTAAATAATATAAAAAATATATATATATAAAATATAAAATAAAATGTAAAAATATAAATATATTTAAAAACAAAATTACTAAACTAAAATTAAAATGGAAAATATACAAATAAAAACGAACTAAAAAATTAATAATAACTAATAAAAAATGACAAAATAAAACAAACTTACTTAAAAGTAAAATTAAAATGTAAAATATAAAAATAAAAATGAATTCTAAATATTATTAAAAACTAATAAAAAAACAATAAAATGACTAAAACTAAAATAAAAAATATTTTAATAATATTAAAAATAATTAAAATAAAAAATAAATATAAAATTAAATGTAAAAATATTTAAAAACAAAATGACTAAAACTAAAATTGCTCCTGTCTTCCAGGGTCTGTTCAGGAGGAAAGTGTCCATCGCCAACATGCTGGCGTGGAGCAGCGAGCCCATCAAGAAGCCCATGATCATGACGACGGACCGCACGGTGAAGCGCGAGGCCGTGGAGCTCTTCAGACTCATCCAGAGCTACATGGGCGACCGGCGGGGCAAAGGCGAGCCGCTGGCGGTGGCTCTGGAGGTGGCGGTGAGGGGCTGGAGCTGCCAGGGTCTGCGGGATGAGCTCTACATCCAGCTCTGCCGACAGACCACCGAGAACTTCCGCTACGACAGTCTCCAGAGAGGCTGGGAGCTCATGGCCATCTGTCTGGCCTTCTTCCCCCCGACGCCTCGCTTCCACAGCTACCTGGAGGGCTACATCTACAGACACATGGACCCGCTCAACGACACCAATATTGGCTATTGCTACAAATATACCCCAGCGACTTGAGACTGCTTTTGTGCTCCAGGGTCACAAATAATGACAAAGAAACTAATGAATTAAATTAAAAATGAGGTTTTGGCAATATTATTTTAAGACTTTAAAATATTTGCTATATTTGTATTAATATTTCATTTATAATAAGAGCATTTAAAATGAACACAGTCAGTGAAAATGTAAATATTATCTGTCTTATTTTGTGATTTTAGAAAAAAAAAATGTATTGTAGAATATTATTTCATAACTTAATTTTAAAATAACATTTTCTAAATACATGTAATCAGTGACATTTTATTATTTTATAACTTATACCAATTTAAAATATTTAAATGTATGTAATTATTGAAGATGTGATTGTAATGTAATCAGTATTGTTTTATTATTTTGAAAATATTATTTTATTGTAAATATTATTTTAAAACTTAGATGAATGTAATATATTTAAAACATTTAAAAATTAATAACATTTGCAATTTTATTATTTTGACGATATTATTTTCAAACTTACAAATATTATAATGTTATTATCTTATTGTTTTTATTTTTTATTAATTATTATTAATATTTGTATTCTATTATTATTATTTGAAAGCTTATAATATGAATTTAAAATATTTTAAATGGTATGCAATGTAACACATTGAATTAAATGTGAATTTTTTTTTATTAAAAGGCTAAAAAAGACTAATTTTGAAAAATATTTTAGTTTTTACGTTGAATGAATGGCTCAGTGTTTGCAGAGCGTCTGGCGTCTGTGCTCTAATGCGCTGCGTGTGTTAATTGGCTGTGAAGTGTCGTGGGGGTCTGGTTCGTCCTGCTATTTAACAGTTTTAATTAACATTCAGTTTCCGGAATTCTCCTGTTGCCCTGGAGACGTGTTTCAGACAGTCACGTGGTGATATGCACTTTGACAGCACTGATGCATGATGGGTATCATCGCACACGCGTGACGGGATGTGAAGCACATACATGTGTTTGGTGTGAAAGGTTGTGATGGCAGTGTCCTGTGGAGATTCCAGTGGGTTTGTGTGTAAATGTGTGTGTGTGCCAGACTCTCAGCGGGGTAAAGCTTCAAAACTCGGCTCCGCTCCAAACCCTAGTGTGCTGCCTACATAGGCGTCATTCAAAGCATCACGCACACATGCATAAAAGGTACAAAGGCAGGGATCCAAGTATGGAAAGTGTGGGATTTGATTTGAGTCATTTCCAGATCTGGAAAAGTATGAAAAGCAGAGTTTGGATTTTTTGTTTGTTTGTTTATTTAAGACTGTTGCCCTATATTGTTTTCTAAAATAAAACATTGAGGTTTTCTTAAAATAAATAAAGACATTTTTTTTTCCAAGTATTCTTCAAGTATTTTCTTTATGCAAATAAATAATACATGATTTCATCAGTAAATGTATTATACTGATAATTATTAATATCTATATATATCTGTATATTATAATAATTATACTGATAATGAAAATTATTATCCTGGATAGCATATCCTTCTATTATTTTGAAAATACAATTATGTAAATAAATGTAACAGTATATATAAATGTAATCAGTATTTTATTATTTCAATTTGAATAAATGAATTCAAAAATATTTAAAATGTGCATGTAATCAGTATTAATTTATTATTATTTTGACAGTATTGTTTTAAAACTTATACATTCAAAATAATATTTTCCTAATAAATGTAATCAATGAAAATATTATTTTCACAAATATAATATAAATTTAAAATATTTAAAATGAACACAATCAGTGAAAATGTGAATGTAATAAGAATTATTTTGGCAGTATTATTTTAAAACGCATAATATAAATTTAAAACAGTGTTTTCTGATCAGTGACAATATTATTTTCAAACTTAAATATGCATTTAAAATAATATTTTCTAAATAAATGTAATCAAATCAGTGATGATATTATCTTCAAAGATATTTAGTATGTATGCAACCAGTGAAAATGTGAATGCACTGAGTATTATTTTATTATTATTTTGACAACATTGTTTTAAGACGTAGCATATGAATTGAAAGTATTTAAAATCTACACAGTTTGTGAAAGAGTGCCAAATGTAATCCTGTATTTTAGCTCTGCAATTTTAATTAGATTGCCGCACATTGATGTTCATTGTTCATTGGATTTGTATGAGCTAAACATTTGGCAGCATAATAACATACTTGACCCATACAATGTATTTTTGGCTATTGCTACAAATATACCCCAGCGACTTAACACTGCTTTTGTGCTGCAGAGTCATATATATATCTGGAGAAGTCTCATTTTGAAATGGATGATGTGTAGGAGCTCGTCTGCAGACTCAGCAATCCCAGCATGCACTGTGATGATTTTAGCTCTGAGTTGTTTTCTGCTCTCTGTGTCTGCAGGGTTTGAACAAGCCCTCGATCGAGGAGATCGCTCACGCTCGTAACGCCATCTTCCGGCCCTCCATGTTCGGCTCGTCTCTGGAGGAAGTGATGGAGATGCAGAAGGACCGTTATCCCGACAGGCAGCTGCCGTGGGTTCAGACGCGTCTGTCCGAGGAAGTGCTGAACCTGAACGGAGACCAGACCGAGGGCATCTTCAGGTCACACATCGGCCTTCATCAGACATTTTTTATCTTATATATATATATATACACTAGCGGTCAAAAGTGTGGGATCAGTAAGACTTGTAATGTTTTTTAAAGAAGTCTCTTCTGCTCATCAAGGCTGCATTTATTTGATCAAAAATACAGAAAAAACCCCGTAATCTTGCAAAGTGTTATTACAATATAAAATAATGGTTTCTATTTTAATATCATTTCAAATAGAATTTATTTCTGTGATGCAAAGCTGAATTTCCATCATCATTACTCCAGTATAAAGTG